GAATATTGACCCTAGTGCTTGCACCGACTCATACGATAGTTTTTCCCCTTCTAACACATGAAGCAGCACCGTGCACCTTGTTACTATACCACCCAGGCGCTTCAGCCGCATTTAGGCGCCTTTCCATCGCATTTCCGCGCACTTATGTTACTCACAGCGCATAGAGGCATAGATGTCGAAAGAAGATCGAAGAAACCAAGTCAGATGGAAGTCCGCATAGATTGCAGCGCGTTTTTCCGTGTTTTCCTTGCAGTTTTTCTTACGCATAATTCCTTTCTTCGCATTGTATCTAGGACACCCAGTGGGGATTGGTTTGGACATAGATTGGATCGCTCCTCAGGCCCCACAAGCATCACATTTCACCCCCGGACGTATATTGGACGTAGACTCCATAGTGCGATCATTCCGTCACACTCAGTTGCAGTTTGCACTTTGCGCATTCATCCCCTCGTGTTTCCAGCTCTCGCGCTTTTGTGCTGTCGCCTTCCGCATTGTCGCATTTTGAGCAGTTGCCTTGTCGCCTTGTCGCATTTCCCGCAGTTGCCTTATCGCCTTGTCGTGTTTCGCCTTGTCGTGTTTCGCATTGTCGCATTTCCCGCAGTTGCCTTATCACCTTGTCGTGTTTCACATTGTCACGTTTCCAGCAGTCGCCTTGTCGCATTTCGTGTTTTGTGCTGTCGCGTTTTCGCATTTTCACCTTTCATGCAGTCCCATGTTCGTGCTTCGCCTTTAGCGCATTCTTGCGCTTCCACAACACATTCCCACGCCCGCACACATCACGCATTAACTACGCCTCATCGCACTTAGTCGCACTATCATCCGCACCCATCACACTCGACAATCATCATGTACCCTTATCACCGACTTCGCTTGAGAACCTCACCAGACGCGCTCTGAGTGGGGACACTCAGTATTCAAAGTCCCTGGGAGATGTAGAGACTCGCGTTTCTGCAGGCACATATGGGCACATTTCGCACCTTTTCACAACTCATGACAATTGGCCTTCAATGCACGACTTGCACCATCAGCAATATTCGACTTCTATCATGTCTCTAGTCGTTTTACACATAACACGCAGCTTTCCCGCGAAACGCGCCATAGACGCGGTACTTTCCCGCACAACAGCGCAGCATTCCCACACGCCACTGCCACCTTGCGCGCTTTCTCACGCTTAATCGCCCTGCATCGCCTATCATCCAGGAACGTCCCTCTATGTCCATCCACCTCATTGGTACAGTCATATCCCTTGCCTCATGGTTTGTAACAAGCATTGCAGTGTTATTACATGTCATTACGTATTCATAGCGCTTATTGCTCCTATCCCTTCCGCTTCCGATGCGATTTCCATAGTATAAAGTTGCTGACTTACTACACCATCATTATTACTCCCCTTTGCTGTACTTCCCTCGCTATTGGGTTTTACTTTAAAGTAGTAGTCACCACTTGGGCGCACTTTGTGTTTCCAATGGTTATCGTTATCCGCCTATACTAGACTATTATCCGCGCTCGTTATAACACTCGCTCTGCATTTGCACTTGCTTTGCACATCCGCTTCCTTATCTGTTTCCTTATCCAGTATTTTCCGCACAACGCGCGCCTTAGCGCTCACGTTCCCACGCTCGCGCTTACCTTAGTGCGCTCTCTTGCGCTTCGCGCTCACTTCACTTTTCTTCTTGCGCTTTCGCGCATCCATCACACTACAAGGGTCTTTCATTCATCTGGTTCTGTGTTCAGTAGCAGTCCCCTTTAGGGTCAAACATTCTTGCATTCTGCGAGTATAGCAGCTAGGCAGAGCCAAGACTCACTTATACTGGTTGAGCATTTTTAGATATTTCATATCAGCCCAGCCAGGTTGAGATCGCCTCAGCGCTCACCAGATATCCAGAATGGCGCATGTTACGCAAGGAGAATACCAAGACCCTTGTCGCATTCTTATTCGAGGAACTTCTTTGCAGATGGGGACCTATTACTGAAATCGTTACCAACAATGGACCCGCATTCCACGCAGCAGCTGATGAACTAGCAGTGCACTATGGAATTCACCCGATCCGCGTCTCAGCATACAACTCTCAAGCTAATGGTATTGTTGAGCGACGTCGCTATGATGTCCGGGAGGCCATCATGAAAAGTTGCAATGGGGATGAGGCGCACTGGTATCAATCCGTGCACTCGGTACTTTGGGCAGAACACGTCACTGTTCATCAAGCGACAGGACTTACACCTTATTTCATGGTTCATGGCGTCGAGCCTATCTTCCCGTTTGACCTTGCTGAAGGAACATTTCTAGTAGCACTACCTGACCAAGACACCTTCTCAACGACGGACCTAGTCGCATGGAGAGCCCGACAACTGCAGAAGCGACAAGAAGACCTCAATGATATCAAGGAGAAAGTACTCAAAGCACGCTATCAGTCTATCCACAACTTTGAGCAGCACTATCGTGGCTCGATCATAGATTACGACTTCGCGCCTGGCGCACTCGTTCTAGTCCGCAACTCTAAAGTCGAGTATGAGCTAAGTCGCAAGACGAAGCCGCGCTATCTGGGACCTATGATAGTCATCCACCGCACTAAGGGCGGGTCGTACATCCTTGCTGGAACTAGATGGTTCTGTGTCCCGACTGCGCTATGCAGCATTCCACCTACTTCCTTACCTTCCGCGCAGCGAAACTAAAGTCTCAGTTACTAGCATCACAGGTTTAGATGATGAAGCACTGAATACTCTAGCAAACGAAGACATAGAAGAGCCACCCGACGAAGCGCTCGATTTCGACTTCGATGCATGACCCGCCAGCATTCCTCAAATACCGCCAATATACCCATTCCCGACATCCGCTATCTCTCATAAAAACAAAAACACAAAAACATACCACTCTAGTACGATAGTCTCAGTTCCACCCCAGGTTTAGTCCGGTGCATCAGTTTCATTCTTCCGCTCTCAAGGACTCATATATGTTACGCGCCATCCGCGCATAGACTTAGTATCGCAACACAGACATTACAAGGATTGGACTATTTCGCGCGAAAGATTGATTACCGTACAATTTCTCTTTGAATGCGTAGGCAGCGCACCACGCACATTGACATGGTTTAGGGATTAAGTCACGCACGAATAGCGACAGGAGGAATAGACAAGGAAGCGCAATGAAGAAGCCAAGTCGGGTGGTACCCCGCCAATTGACCCGACTGCAACTAGTATCATTCACCTTCTTCCTGCATCGCATACTCATTTCACCTTACTTATCTCTTAGGCACCCAGTGGAGTTAGGACCGGTACATTGGATTTGGACATGGGACTTAAGGACTCAAGGATACCAGGACCAAGACACGCGATCACACAAGGACAACATGCGACAAGATCCTTCTATTCTAGCGCTATTCAAAAGATATCCTAAATTGTACAAGTGCGCTAACCCAGACATGCGACCCGCTCCTAGTACCTTCTACTGACTACCGGTGTGGGTATCACAACCTGGCAGGCACATATAAGAAAAGTGCTCAGCCAGTATAAGTGAGTCTCAGCTCTGCCTAGCTGCTATACTCGCAGAATGCAAGAACGTTCGACCCTAAAGGGGAAGCAAGGAAAGCAAGGATCCACGGAATGATGCTGAACAACCCTGATGAATGGCGGTGAAAGCGCGAGAAAGCGCGCGCGGGAAAGTGAAGTGCGAAGGTGCGCGGAGCGCGGGAAGGTAGTGCAAGCGGTGCACAAGTGTAGAAGATGGATACTGACAGTGCCACTAGCTATAGACTGATGCTAGGGCCTCAAGATGATGAAGGACACATGCATTGCATGGAACTAACTGATGATAGATACTGAGTGGTGGAAGCTGGTGGTATAGTTGGGTGTAAAACGAACATGAGAGTATGTAAGTTCTACCTAAGCGCTCTCCCAGGGTGTCATATACCATATATCCGGTTACAGATCCGATGATCTGGATCTCAGATCCGATCCAGATCCGATGAACATATCCGTCGTCCGGTCCACAGATCCGCTTTGATTCTTATTTCATTTCCTGTTCATATAACTCTAACTATCGTTCATCCCCTTTCGGTATTCCTGTACACCGGTATACCGGTTATCCTTTACTTCCGCTTTGCTTACTGATCCGCTACACTTACGAATCCGCTTTTACTTGTACTTCATTCCCGGTTCATGATTCGTGATCCATCCAACTTACCAATACGCTCCACTTAGACTTTGCTTATACTTTCGTACATAGCCTCGCACCTTTGCTTATTGATCATTCCATTAGCTATCCGTAGTATATAAACCTTTGTATATGCGCTGTAGTAGATCAGTTCGAATATCATCTTAGATTGCACTCATTCCGTCTGGACTCTGAGTCCCTCCGTTATCCATCCGGACTTGAGTACGCTACTCTTGTCTACTCCGAGACTTAGGATAGATTCCTATAGTCTACATATCCGCCTCTGTCTTCGGACAGTCCTCACCCGTTAGTTTCTAGTCCGGATCCGATCCGGATTGGCCGTTACTCTATATACGCGATACTTTAGCTCTCTGAAATAAGGGGCAAGACTCGGGAAAGGGGCACAGCGCACGAGCTGAGGCCGAAGCCCTTCGGATCCGATACTACTTGAGTACGGTCTTAACACAGGGCTCGAGCCGAATAGGGAGCGCTCTAAGTATGTAAGTGATGTAAAGTGATGTAAAGTAAGGGTCCATGACGAAATGGGAAGTGTAATATGCCAAATATGGTCAGATAATGAAAGGGACATACCGAGGGACTGGTTGGACGATGGATGGATGCTCCTGGATGCTGTGCGATGCAGGGCGCTTAAGCGCGAGAAAGCGCGCAAGGCGCGCATGCGGGAATGCTGCGCGTTGTGCGGGAAAGTATCGCGCCTATGGCGCATTTCGCGGGAAAGTGGTGCACTCTATAGGGAAGTCATAGTGGATGATAGTGCGAGTCGTGCCATGAAGGCCAGTTGTCAGAATTCGTAAAATGAGCCCATATGAGTCTGCAGAAATGCGAGTCTCTACACTGGCGCATCCTCTTCCACTTGCAGGAGAGAGCAAGCGAGTCAGCCTCAGCCATCATCTCCATTAACATACCCTGCATGGTAGTCATTTTCGCATATAGCAACCTCACCCTCCCCTCCAGAAGCAAATCCTCCTTGGTGAAGCCAGTATCCGCCAAAGGATCGAAGTCACCCGACACCTCCGACTCCCGCTCCTTCCTCTTCCAACTCTCAACCACCGATCCCTCTGCAGACTCACCCTCCTCCTCATCCTCCGACCCTTCTTCATCTTCCTCCTCAGCCGCAGATGGCGAAGTAGGCAAAGGAGTCGTCTTGGGGCGACGAATCAAGTTGTGAACCGACTGATGGTCCAGCGGCAACTTTGGCCTTAGCCCTAGCGGCAGCCCGCACCTTTGCAACTAAGAGAATAAATTAGCGATGCATAAGTCAAAACGGGAAAGCACTCACCTCCACGACCGTGGGTCGCATACTTGCAAGCCTTGTGATTGGTCTTGCAACAGTCGCAAGCCACAGCAACTCTCCTGACGCAAGGCTTCTTCACCTTGTGGCACCCTTCGCAAGGTACCAGATGAACGATGGGCTCATCGCTATCCTTCTTCTGCGAACTCTTAGCGAAAGAAAAATGAAAAGAAAGGAATGACTTACCAAAACCTTCTTGCTCCCGACAGCGTCGGTAGTCGCTGCCCGCTGAACACGCAGAGGAGCTACCACAGTCGGAACTTCCTCCTCTCCACTCGCGTCAGCATCGCTATCCCCTCCCTCCTGATCCTCCATGTTAGCGTCTGACTCTGGGGTCTTCTCCTTTTCCTTCTCCTTCTCCTTACCCTTCTGCTTAGCGGCTTTCTCTTGCGCCAACTTCTCAGTTGGCCAGTCGCTGGGCCTCCATCTTGAAGGCATGGAGTTGAGCCGCATACCACTCATATGACTGTTGGGCCTTGCAGCCAAGTGCACCTTCATCCGCAGAGAGTGCGGTACTCAAGCCATAAGTTTTGCCATCAATGGCATTGGCATCAAGGTCCTGCTATAAGCAGAAAAGTTAGAAAAACAAGTAAGCAAGATAGAGAGGGAAAAATACCACAAGTTTGGCCCAGTCGCGCGACCACTCCTCCTTGCGCTGCATAAGGTCAGGCCTGTCATCCAGAACGGCGTTGGCCAGGTTGACCATTTTAAGGTGCAATTCGCCAAAAGCACGCTGGAGTCTCTCAGCGTGAGGGTTTGCGACAGTGGTAAAATCAAAAGACGACATGATAGAAAAAAGTATGAGGATGAGGGAATGAAAGAAGGAAAGTCGGAGGGTTCTTATAGGGACATGCAATTGGGACCACACTTCCATTGACCCCGACCCAATCTTCGCGACCACCGCATGCCCATTATTCCTTGCATTGTTCTAGCCCACCGACCGCGACCACTGCATGTGTACACTTCCATCCACTGTTCCGGCTCATCGATTGTGTCCACCGCTTCTATCAAATTTCCACTATCCGATCATCACTTCCATATCGGGTCACCATCGATCATGTGCCCTTATTGATGGACAAAATTTTGCTAAGTCCCAAATTGCGACATGAGACCGACTGGGGACAGTCGGTATTCAAGTTTCCCACAGATGTGACAATCATACCAGCGCTAGGCGCATATGAATGTCATGGGCACAATTTGCCTTACCTTGAGGAAAGGAGTAAAATGCTAGTCACCAGCGCTATTCAGCTCCCAAGCTATCCGCTTTGGAACCGCTTTTCTCCCATAGTGCGCTGCCCAGCCCGACGCCTAGGTATTCTGTCCTCCCATGTCCTGCCTATGTCCGCCTACCTCTGCTGGTGCATTATTTTTCCTTAAATGTCGCTACTCATCAGTTGCAGGTCTTATTACATGCATCCTCGTGTTCCGCTGTGCTGCATGTCTTATTACCTGTTGCTACATCGTGCCTTCATCAGTGTTGCTACTATTCTCGCCTACGCATTCCCAAACTTTTACACAGTATGATAAAATGACCCGTCGCACATACAGTACAGTACTTCCCTTCCCTGGACCTTTGCTGGTGTCGGAGTCACTTTAGTTGCTATATCTTAGTCTTGGTGCAATCAATTCCGCTCTTGCCAATCTCTCTGATTGCGTGTCGCTTGACTTGCTTTAAGTGCGCGTCGCTAAAGTTGCCTCATAAGTTTGATTTTTGCAACGTCGGGATCGCTATCGGTAGTCGAGCTATAATCTAGTCGCTATCGGGCATTCCACTTGCACTATCATACCTTATTCCTTGCTTTCCCTTCTTTTGATTTCTTCTCGCTGTCGCTAGTCAGACGTCGCATAGCGCTATCACATAGGACAACTTGCATAGCGCTACTTACTTATACGCACGTTTCTCTGTTGGAACTCACTTGTCGCTAGTCGCTGATCGCTACAGCGCTACTCATTGGTTTTTGGTCTTAGGTCGCTATAGGTTATTAGCCCTTCGCATCATCGCTACCCTTGCATATTTGAAGGGAGTTGCTTCAATAGCAGTCCTCTTGGGTCGAATACTACACTTGCAGCCTATTTGGATAAGTAGCGCTAGTTTCTAACCAGCCTAGTCGCTATTTCTCTTTCACAACGGATAAGGATATGGAGGTCTGGATGTGCATCCAGAAGGCGTACGGAAGGCGTGGGAACATCATCGGACGTAGGTCCAGAATATATTGAGTGCAAATTGGGGGGCATACAATAAGACAGATTGATAGTAAGACGTACCTTCAGTAATTCTGTAATATATTGCCGGATAAGTGTATCTGCGGAGTTGATGTCTGCATCCAACAAAGTATGTTGCATCAAGATACGAAGAGCACCAGATAGCTTGAGGAAGTTAGCTGGGTCATCTGGGTGCAGATCAAACTTAAGTTCTTCTTCACCATCATCACCTGCATCGGTCATGTGGGGGACCTCAGAAGCAGCAGAGGGGAGGGTTCCGGTTGAGTATCAGAGGGGAGAACCTCCATAGCATCATTTGTGGCCTGTAGAGTAGATGAGTAAAGGAAATATATACATTCAGCACATACCTTCTTGCAATATTTTGCTGCCTTTTTCTCTGCAGAGAGTCGAGCCTTCTCAGCCTTCTTCTCCGCAGCTAGTTGAGCCATCTCTGCTTGCTTGGCAGCGGTGGCTTTAAGTCTTGCATCACTCTTTTCAGCAGCCTCTAATTCTTTCTCCTTAGCAATACGAGCCCTCTCAAGTGCATGAGCTTCTTTACCTTGCTTTTTAGCTGCCTTGAGCACCCTACAATCCACAAGTTCCTTCTCGGCCTGATGCACCTTCTCAGTTTCTAGTCGCTCAATCTGTGCAACACAATCTTGCAGGATGTGGTCACTATCAGCACTTGGGAGACAAGTGCTCCACAGTTGAGGTATCTGATGTGATGATCCAGTAGCACATATTTATGTATGGGAAAGAAACTTACTACTATCGGACCGTAAACAGTTGAAAGCAAGAGCCATTGATTCGGCTGTGAGTGATCCTCCTGAGGGCATACCTATGTCCTAAGGGAGCTTTCTGCATGCACTTGGTAGGGTGAACTATGTGACATATCAGTCTGATGAAACAAGAAGAAAGTACTATACTTACGTTGGCAAGCATGTCGTGAAACAAGGTCAGTTTGTGGTTTGGACGGAGTACTTTCCCTTGCACCCAAATGTTGTAGAAATGTGTTTTGACGAGACCTATTGTCTAATGAGCAATTAAATAAAACGTTAAATAGAATGTACCAAGAAATAGATTATGCATTGGGTCGATTACAACTTGATTGACTAAATTGAAGTATGAGTGCCTGGAAAGCTGAGTATAGTGTGTTGCATAGTCTTTGACGAAGTTCTTGCATGCAGTATGTGTGGTCAGTTGTTGGTATTGTTCTCCTAACTTGCACTGTTGCAAATTTGTTTGTTCCTTGAATGCTGGGAATCATACTTGGTGTGAGCATCAGAAGGAATAGCTTTGATACTCACCATCTTTCACAAACGCGGCTGCTCTTGCTTTATCTGCTTGCATGATCCAGCAAGCTGTACATAAGTTAGTGTGTGAATGCGAACCAAAACCACCAATCTTGTGAGTGGCTGGTTTATCACAAACTACAGCAACAAGAATTAAGTGAACAAGTCGACCTTGATCAAATTATCAGTTGATCTGCTAATGTGGTTCATATCTCATATCTTACTCACCTTCTGGACATGATTCTGTTGGTACCTTGATGCCATGCTTCCAGAGTCGTAAGAGATCCGAGACAATTGGGCAAAGAAAGTGTTGTATTTGATCAGGATTCTGCTCCTTTGGACCTGGTGTCCTCTTACTTAAGAGTCTTATATACAACACGTATATAGTGACAGCACAACTATATAGGATAAGACTTCTTGTCAGTCCTTAAGTACACGGTCTACAATGTGAAAGAGAAATAGCGACTAGGCTGTTAGAAAACCAGCGCTACTTATCCAAATAGGCGCGAATGTAGTATTCGACCCAAGAGGACTGCTATTGAAGCAACTCCCTACTAATAGCAAGGGAAGCGATAGTGCTGTGACAATCATATTGGCACTAGTCATGTATACCTGCATAAACCTTCAATAGGTGGACCAAAGTTATCCCTCATATTATTCACTACTCCCCTATCAGCAGTCTTCACTTGTCTCAGCCATAACCCTTGTCCAATGCTATTCCGCACTTTTCCTGCACTATGCGCTGCACATTCCCACAGCGCTATTCATGCTCCCTGCGACTTATCCGACGCTATTCCCGCACTTATAGCACTATCAGAACTACCAGCAATGTGTCTATAGGAGCATTAGTGCATGTCCACTCTACCTAGTGCTTGTCCGCTCTATCTAGCGCTTGTTCCCAGCGCCTAGCGCTAGTCCAGCGCGCTGTTCTCGCGCTCTAGGAATCACCCGAAATGTCGGAATCCATCCATGGTCCATCCTACCTCATTGGTATGTAATTTGCCTTGCCTCGAGTTTGTAAAAAGTGCTACAGTCTTATTACATGTATATCCTATCCCTTCCGAGTCCAAGATGGTATAGTTTACTAGTATAAGAAGCCTATGGTGACTACTTCGACTTTACTTCCCTTCGACTGTATTTCCTTCTCCTTAGGTTATACTTAGAAGTAGTCACCCTTTAGTTGCGCTCTATGGCCCCTATTTGACTTTCCTTACCCTTGCAATCAATACCCTTGATCTCACTCACTATTCATTACCCTCCTTTGACTCAGTGTCTGCTTTCTTGACTTCTGCTCTTTCCCGTGCATTAGCGCTCTATCTTGCGACGCGCTATTCCCGCGCTTTAGCGCTCTTTCAGGTCTTTCGATCTTGAGTTGTCCTTAGTAGCTTTTCCCTCAGGTTGAACGTTCTTGCTTTATTGTTTGCAAGTATAGCAGCATAGGCAGAGCTTAGACATATACTGGCTTAGTACCTTTACAAGTGCCTAGTCAGGTTGTGTTTTTCACAGTGCGAAGGACTAAAAACTTATAGCGACCTAAGACCAAAAACCAATGAGTAGTGCTATAGTGATCAGTGACAAGTAAGTTCTGACAGAGAAACGTGCATATAAGTGAGAAGCGCTATGCAAGTTGTTTTATGCGATAGCGCTATGCGACGTCCAACTAGCGACAGCGAGAAGAAATCAAAGGGAGTGAAAGCGAGGAGTAAGATAAGACAGTGCAAGTGAAATGCCTGGTAGTGACTAGATTGTAGCTCGACTACCGATAGCGATCCCGATGTTGCGAAAGTCAAACTTAAGAGGGAACTTTAGCAACGCGCACTTATAGCAAGTCAAGCGACATGTGATCAGAGAGATTTGGCAAGAGCAGAATCGATTGCACCAAGACTAAGATATAGCAACTAAAGTGACTCTGACACCAGCAAAGGTCCAGGGAAGGGAAGTACTGTACTGTATGTGTGACAGGTCATTTTATCATACTGTGTAAAGGTTCGGAATTGTGTAGGTGAGTATAGTAGCGACACTGGTGAGGGAATGATGTAGCGACAGGTAATAAAACATGCAGCACTGCGGAACACGAGGATACATGTAATAAGACCTGTGACTGATTAGTAGCAACATTTAAAGACAAATAACGCACCAGCAGAGGTAGGTGGACATAGGCAGGACATGGGAGGACAGAATACCTAGATGTTGGACCGGGTAGCGCACTATGGGAGAAAAGTGGTTCCAAAGCGGATAGCTTGGGAGTTGATAGCGCTGGTGACTAGCGCTTTACTCTTTTCCTCTAGTCAAGGCAAAATATGCCTATGACACTCATACGCGCCCAGCACTGATATGATTGTCACACCGCGGGTAAACGCAAAGCCGAGGGTAAATGCAAAGCCGAGGCTGATGACAGTGCAAGAGCCGTTGATTCGCCCTTCAGGCTCTACCAAGGCACCCTCAGCATCTGGCCAATCTGTAAAGTCCTCACACATTAGTGCCCCTCAAGCATTTCAACAAATGGGTTCGGAGATCCGTGATCTTAACACTACATTCGGTGTTGCAGCGAGTGCTTTAAAAGACCACACTGAACACTCGATTTCACACTCCATAGATCCCATCCCTATGCGCAGGGAGAGGGCTATCTCTCATTTGCTAACGGAGGGTCTAGAGGACGCTGAAGTAATTGTGGTCATGAAGCAGTTCAGGCAGGACATCTCTATTGCAGACTTGTACTTAGCTATTATCAAGGCCAAGGATAGTATATGTCGATTGTTTTTGCAGGACCTAGTCAATAGTTAGAATAAACTTTTCATGCTAGGTACAAATACATTTGATTGCGACCGCTACAAGTACAAGTACACTGGTACAGATCTAGTACGAGTCAGTTGGATACTCCTCCGAGTATGACTCCCCTCTCTCCTGTCATATAGCAAGGTAGTCCTCCCACATTTGGAGGGCAATATCTTCATGGCGTTGATTTGAGCGAGTGCGCACCTCATCAGTGGGAGGACCTTGAGCAAGTGCACCAGTATCACGCAGCTGCTGGTTACCCAAGTCAAGATTGACCTGATAGTAGTCCAGCATGTCATTGGGATCGTGAACACGGATGACATTGTGCACTAGGCACAATGCCAGGGGGATGCGAGCTTGCATGGCCATGTCGTAGTGAGGGGGAAGGAGGAGAATCCAGAAGCGATTCTTCAGGACACCAAAGATGCGCTCGATGACATTTTGGAGCATGGCATGGCGTAGATTAAACAGCTCTGTGTAATCAGACGGCCTAAAAAATATCAGTACAGATATATTATAGAAGAGGGAATATATACGTGAGATGGCCATGGCCCCATTCAGCGAGATGATAGTGTACTCCCCGATAGGGGACAAGTAGCTCATCACACACTCCAGAACCAGCATCCGCAAGATAGTATTTACATACCCTCAGGTATATTAAAATCATTAATGCAAGTGTTGTGATATAGATGTGCATCCGCTGCAGACCCCTCCCAGCCGCTCAACATGTACACAAATGACATGTTGAAGCTACAAGCGGCCAGGCTGTTTTGGGTCAGACTACCCTTACGATCACAAGCGGCATCACACTCTTTGGCAGAGGGATGGCATGCGATATAAGTGCCGTCGATAGCACCAATGGTGTTAGCAAAATAAGGGTAAAATTTCAGCTTCTGGAGAATTTCCAGAGGTGTGGGATTGTCTGCGTCAGGCAAGTGAACGTATAAGGGATATATGGGGGGGGAGGTGAATGCATTGAGAATCTGTTCAAAATATCTAGATAAAAATCAGCATGTCTATCAATAAAAATGAGGGAATGACACACTTTGATATGGTATCATTGGAACGTTGAAAGTGCTCACCAACGTGGCGCACAGAGAGACCTGTGACACTTGTGTACGGGAATATGGCGAGCTGCTCCTCCAGCTGGACATATTTGGAATCTTTGCATCCAGAATCACAAAGTAAGTTCAAGAGAACATAGAATACATGCCACCGTACTCCAAGTTCACATTGTATACGATCAGGATGTCCAGTAAGTAATTCATTGACCCATCCCAACCCTGACAAAGCAGAAGTATGGTAAGGTTGCTTGTTAAAGTAAGTATCAGAGTAAGAGTCGAGGGTCTGGGTAGCAGCGTTGAGGATGATGTTGACCATACAATTAGCACCAAGAAGAATTTTCCGTATCCACTCCAGCTGGAGTACATCCAGTTCATCGGTGTCGACTATGGTGGTGCCTTCGAGATCATCATCATTTTCATTAACTGTAGTAGTATCGTCGTATTCTGGCAGGTCAAAGTTGGGGTTGTGCTCGTTGAATGACATCGTGGGTGCACAAAGGCTGTAGGGTGCGTGTTATCGTGTTATCGATACATATGATATCTGATATCAGCGTGACATCGGATATTCAAGGGCCGATGACAAAGCAAGTCAAATTTTCAAATTTGCATCTTAGTTGCGCAAAATATTTGTATCCGAACAGACTCTAATTTATCATTCACATTTCGATTGAAGTTTTGCCTGGGGCGAAACTCCAAAACCGCCGATCTGTGAGCAAAGAACAACATCACCTTCAATACCGCTACAAGAAATAAGTACCACATAGGTGCAGGCCTCGCCAACATGAAAAAAAATTAACCTCAAACTTGGCCATTTAAGCCTGTCTACTCGTCTCTATATCTTTCAGCGAGATATTACTCCTCTCGCACATCCCGCGGAAAATTCCGCTCTCTATTTTGAAAAGATTGGATGGAGTATCAAATTCCTTCGATAGAGCGTGAGCATGGAACCGCTGAAAGGCGTTCAAATCAACCTACGGCAACAAGGCCAGCGTCGAGGACCAGAATCCGGTCATATGAAATGATGGTACGAAGTCGGTCTGAAGCATCATCACATTACAACATTGCACTGAGAGCACAGAAGATGAAACGCACGGGCAATACAAAGTAGCGTGCGATCCTGGAATTCCGTCTGGATAGTTTGCTGAATTTTGCTATCAGTATCGAGATCAACAGAGGCTCTGAAAAAATTCAACATCAAGCATCCAGGGAAAGAGCAGATGACTAACGTGGCCTCGTCGAGCACAACGACTTTGCAGTCTTTCACCAGCGCACGAGCTAGACTGAGCAGAGATCTCTCCCCGACACTGAGGTTCGCTCCCTCGCTCTCAATGGTACTGTCAAGGTTGTAGCGGCTGGTGGAAGCCTGCTCGCTTCCGACGCCATGACTGGAAGATGTCCGTTTCGAGGTGGTGCTAGAATCAAGCAGACAAGATCGATGCAGCGCATCCCATAGCTCCGCGTCACCGTGTTGGGAGAATGGATCTAGGTTGGAGCGGATGGTACCTGGTAATCATTTAGCGCTTCACAAGAGCATGAAGATCTACGATACTAACCGCTAAATAAAAGAGGCTATCGAGTTCGTACGTGAGCCCTGTGTTGGGTTGTACAGGGAAATATTACAAACATCTTGTGGGATAATAGAAATCTTGGAGCGGAGATCTTGAAGACCAATTGTAGATATATCGACACTAGAAGGAATGAAAACCGATACTCGTCACGAGCGATGACCCACGCACCCATCAATCGTGATTGAACCACCAGACACCTCAACAATTCGGAACAATGCGAGCATCAACGAAGATTTACCAGCACCAGTCCTGAAGGGACACCGCATTAGCACATGTGTGTAGATCAGACAAACTAGCTGACCTTCCCACAACACCTATCTTTTCGCCTCCCTTGATCTTGATCGAGATGCCCCTCAATACATTGGGAAGGCCCGGCCTATATGCCATTTTAACGTCGTTAAATTCGACGGCACCATGTTCAGGCCATTGCGCCGGAGGCTTTCGTTCTTCAATCACATGCGGAGCCTCTTGAGGTATCGTATCACCTTCAACGTACTGTACCACTGCAAGACATAAGCAAGAGTTGACATATCATAAATTTGGCGGCTCACATCGCTCCACTGCATTCATGTAATTCTGAGGCAAATGACGATTCAATAGCCTGTAATGTGAGATAGTGAGGAAAGCCTTACCTCAACATCTGCTGTTTGTCTGGTTACCGCACTACACATTTGTGACAGCGAGGCTGTGACACAAAAAGGTTAATCGTCTGTACTTTCGTGGTGGCATTGGGAGACTCACTGGTATACGTCAGTACCAACCCTATCTGGGCGGCGTTTATACCAGAGACGTCGATCACTGCGAGAAGAGCAACCTATTGAGACCATAGGTGAGTATGAGGTATCTGTCATTAAATAGACACCTACAAGGAAGACTAATATACCTCCCATGAAGTCCAACCTTATTGCAAGCCATCTGAGGGAAGATGATGAACCAACGACCGCCACGATATATATAAGGCTACTTGCCTCTGATTCGTGACTACGAGGAATAGAGCTCTATCCTCCAGATCAACGTAGTATCTATTGGAGGCAATAAACCGCTTCATTTCTCCGTAGCTTCGGATTGTCGGAAGCCCTGTTAAGGTTTCCGAAAAGTGGGCATAAAGAAGAGAACGAAGGATAGAGTCTGATGACCGATTTCAACGGAGGCTTTCTCGGTCAGAAATACAACAACAAACCCAGGCGCTTGACTTCACGAGCACTAGCTCGATAAAAGGCAGCAAAGTAGCTGTAACCAATAACGATGAAGAACACAGCAATAACTAGACAAGTATGAGCCATATCCTCGCAGATGATATCTATATACTAACCAAAGTACGGTTCAAGGATAGAAACGATAATGATAGAGCCAGTCACGCTGGACAGCGTAAGGGCAACTGGATCTCCAGTCAGTTTCCGTAGACGAAGCGTGCGGTTAACGTACGCAATCTCATTGATTCTTGACTACGTGTAAGTAACATCTCGCCATGACGTGACAGACGACTCACGTGGTAGTTGATTGTCAATACCTGGGTGGAAGGTTTCAGCAAGTATAACATATCATAAATCAGCGAGATACTGACTGTCGATATCCTTGCCAAAAATGCTCAGGATCCGGCCCATAGGCTACAGGAACACAGTGAGCATTGGTTTTAGCGCTTTCATATACAATCACTCACTGTAGTGTCGAAAAAGGACATGGATGCGTGAAAGACGTTGCGTACGGACTTGTGGTGCAGGCTTTGAGAAACATAATTGGACATGAAGTCGATTGCAGCACCACTGCAGCAAGTTGTATTCAGTGAATGTGCCGCCATCTGCGATGGGAACCGACTTACAGAAATAATGTGAAGATCGCTTGACTAATCCCTAGGCAGCCGTACAGCGTCTGATAGAACGAGTTCGGTCTGTCGAATGTGCTGCACCAGTATTTTAGAAAAGGAATCAAGAAGTCAATAAAAAGACACTGACTTCGCCTCCCACCAAACTAGCGTGTATGAGTTCAAGATCAGGCTTCCCTGCATCCCAAGCATGATGAGAATAAGCAGGGGACCTGTTATTGAACCGCGTCCCGCTACCAAGTAGGTCCAGTACACTTTGAAACTGTTTCAATCCAGGGAAACACTTCAGATAAACTTGATCGCACCTCCCCGGGATACAGAGCCCGTCGACCGCTTCTCTTTGACGATCAAGCGGCCTTCGAGTTTGCCACTGCCAGTAGCCTTTTCTTTGGCTCTTTCTGACTTCAACTTTATATCGTCAATGGAAATGCCTGTCTGCAGAGTGACTTCCTCTGCCTGGTCTTCATCTTTCCCTTCCGACGCATGACCACCGAACTCCAGGTCCATACGCGCAAAATCACCACCGCGAGAGACCAGTTCCTCGTAAGTTCCGCT